CAGGCCTGTGGGCCATCACCTAGTACCCACTGGGAGGACCCAACACCCAGTGCCAGCAATGAGAAAATCTAGGAGCTTTCTGGCATTAGCAGCATACTTCTCTAACTGCTGATACTCAGGTTAGTGCAGGAAGGTCTGAGATTTCTCCTTTTGCTCCTTTCTTCCTGAATCTACCCACTATCAATCTCTGTCATTCTTCTTGAGCATGGATTCCACAGGCCCACTCCATTATTTAGGTATCATTTATTCAACAAATGTTCATTGAACAACTGCTACATGCCAAGCATTGACCTAGGGTTATAATGGTGCCCACAATCTAGTGAAGGAGAAGACAAGTAGAGGCAGCTACAGTACAAATTCATGTGCAATTAAGTACATGTGCTCCAAGAACACACAGGAAGGTACCTGGAGAAAGATGCTATGAGAGATCCTTAGGAATTGGCCAACTAAAGCATCTGGCTGGTGGAGAGTGGGCATGGGGATGCATAGAGCATATTGAGAGCTGAGGCTAGAGAAGTAAGCAAGAGCTGTGGAGGCTCAATAAACAGGGTGACTTTGCCTTGAGGGCAAAGGGAGACTGTAACTGTGTTCAGTAGGCGTGTGACATGATCTGCTGCAATTAGGAGAATGGAACAGAAAAAACAAGACTTGGGTCAGAGAGAATATGGTGACCTGAATAAGGCAGTGGTAGTGGGGACGGAAAGAAGGCAATGATTTTGAGAACTTCTGGGAGGGAGAATCGACACGATTTTTGTTGTGGCTAAAGAAAGGAATCCAGGATGATTTTCAGTTTCCTGACAGAACTATAGCATAGAGAGTACCAGTCATTAGTTGAGGGAAGGTTGGAGGATGAGGTGTTGGGAGAAAGAAAACACCTGAGCTTTAAAGGACCTGTGGACATCCAGGTGGCGATACAAAAGCCATAGCTGGATAGGAAGGCTTGGGGTTCAGATGGCAGATGGAGAAGATTTATTTTCTCCAGTGGGATCTCTGCTGCCATGTCAGTTCCCACTTCTTAGTTGGAGAAAAAGATCAGAAGACATCAGCCTACAGGAGATAGTTGAAGCTACGGCAAAAGATGAGATCACTCTGATAAGTGTACATGTACAGAATTAAAAGAAAAGATAGCTAGGACAGATCAAAGGAACACCAGTATTTAAGAAACACCAAATTTAAGAGAAAAGTAAGGAAAGAAGAATCTGCAAAAAAGACTGCGAAGAAAAGCCAGAGAAGTAGGACACACAAGAAAAGTAAAGATAAAGAATGTTTCATGAAGGTTGAAGTGGTCAACTCTGTTCAGTGATGCCAAGAAGACCCAGCCTGAACCCTGGCAAGCAGGTCACTGGCCAAGCCTTTCAACCCCGTCTCTGCCCTCCATGGGACAGTCACTAACCCACAGTGCTCTCCCAGGGGGGTGGCCCCATCACAATGGGACTTCACTCTAGGTGATAACAATCTCTACTCCTCATGTCTAGGCCAGCTGCTTGACTGCAGCCCTGAGGAGCCCTCTGTAGTCCCTGTTGAGTGGACACCCCCCAAGTCAAACAGTGAGTGGGGTAATTTGAGCAAATATCTTTAGATCTCTAGGCTTTCTAAAACCTAGTGCTCAAATCTACATTTTCACAGCACCAACAGAGGGGTGTGGTATGCACAGCTCATGAGGAAAGCAGGGAAAACCCTCAAGCCAAATACCAGCCCAGCATTCACACGCTCAACCCCCAGTGACAGTAAAACTTCCCTTTCCAAAGCTGAGGTTACATGGCAGTCCACTCAATAGACTCTGAACAGGCCCCTGGACCCTGCTCCACCACAGCAGTGTCTGAATACCCTGACCCTCTCCAAAGACCCACTTCCCAGACTGCACCAAGGGCCAGGTCCTCCCTCATGTCAGCTCTTCCCTAGCCCCCCCCCCGACCACCTTTGCCACTCCTCAGCCCCGTCTTCCTGATCTGGCCCTCTTCTTAGACCCACAGGCAACTAGGAAAGCCTCTGGTCTGGCTTCTCAGCCACTAGAGCTGTTCAGCTGGTGAACTAAGCTGCAAGTTAAAATCTGAGTTCCTCGAGGGTAGCACCTGGGCAGGTACACTTCTCACTCTGCACGAGCTCTTCCTTCCACCTCGCCAGAGATGGATCCCCTGTAGATTCCCTGCCTGGGAGACAGAGAAGAGAGAAAGTGGGTGAAAGAACACTAACCCCAAAAGAAACTTCAGGAAAAAGCAAGTAAGGCAAAGGAAAGGTAGGTTAGGTAGCGAAGGCAAGCTGACCAAGAGCCAAAGCCGTAACAATTGTCATTTCTTCAAGAACTTTAGAAGAAAAATTAAATCCACACCCATTAAATTAAAACCTACCTTAACAGGATCTGTGACTATAGCATCAAAGCCCACATAAACCTGGAGTATCAAGTCATCTGGCTTTGACAACAGAAGGACACAGAATGGGAGCAGATTTCTTTTTTCCAGTGGGATTTCTGCTGCCACTTCAGTTCCCATTTCTCAGTGCCTCACTAATCAGACCCTTTCCAACAAAAGTGATGTGAAGCTGACTGGGGGCCTAGGGGGTTGGGAGAAAGGAGAAGGACAGCCATGAGAAGGAGCCACGGTTTCAGGGAACTAGAGTAGGAAATGAAAATATTTGCTGAATTCCTTAGACTTAGTTAAATCTGAAAATGGATGTCAAAATAAGAAGCAAGCCACATACTAACAAGTTGTGGGTGTCAATTTAACACTATCCTTGTCAGGCTCAGCAGCAGCCTGTACCAGGCGCATGAAAAGGTGATGGTTCTGATGAGAGCCATCTGATGAGAGGTTCCAGGAACACCGATAAGCTGTGCACTGTCACGCAGCACTACTTAGGTTTCCTCTCTGGCTGTTTTTATTTTGTTACACATTTAATTAAGAGCCTTCCCAGCAGTTATGTGGAGTCCTGCTTCTAAAAGGCAGCTACAGAGCTCCCTTCCCCCAGCTCCTGCCACTTGACATCTGCTTCCTTCCTGCATATTCTTTTTCAGAGCTTCACTGGCTACCCCAGTCCAAGTCCAAACCAGCCACCAGTCTACCCAACCCATCTCTTTTGGTAGACACATGGTCTTAGAATTAAATTCTGTCTAGCCATGAGTCTTTACCAGTTTGGGCCTCAGTTTTTAAGTTTGTTTTGTTTTTATTTTCACCTATAAAAGAGATATCACCTCCTACCAGAGAAGATAAGGACTGCATGAGATATAGTATGTGTTCACTAAAATTTGGTTTCTTTCATATATGCTTGGATTCCACAACCCAATCCCTCTTTTTGATTATAACATTTCTCGTGAGGATGCAAAGCAGCCTCCTGAGTCACCAAAATCTGCCCGAGCACACAAACTGGTGCTAAAGGCCACAACAGGTCACAACAGGCCAGACCACAGAAGATGACACCCTCTGAAACCTCCTCTCCTTCTCATAAAGAAACCAATTCCAAGGTTAGGTGGCCCAGACAGAGAGTCCCTAACCTCAAGCACAGGAAAGTTTTCACACACACGTATACGTATATGCCATTCATAGTTAACACAGAAGATTCTGGAATGCAAGTGTCCAGGATATGAACACACCAAAAGAGAAAGCCACTGGAAGAGCAGGAGTCCTGGGCCTCAGGACTGGGTCATGTGAACCCCAGAACTCCAGGTATCAGCCTACCTTAAACAGTAGAGCTCCATATAAGTCCCTTCTCTGCTTCAAGTGCTCAAAGCTGCCCAGGACACCACAGACAAGAGCAACAGCTTTCCTCCTCCTCACCTTCTTCATGGGACCCTCCTCTGATTCCTATCTGCCTGTATAATTTCCTGACAAATGGGTGTTATCTGGGAGCACAGAGATCCTCTGGAGCTTGGGAGCTGTGTGTGCAAACCTAGAGCTGTGCAGTCAATGTGTGTACATGACCTCAGGGATGTGGGAGGCGAGGTGTTTGGGTGTTTATGTGGTCTGGGCTTGTTCTTCCTCCAATAGCAGGCTCGACCCCCCACCTGGGTGCATAACTTCACCTCAATACCTGGCATCCAAAAGGCATAAAAAGAACCTTTATGAGAAGATAATGCCTGATTTGGTTGGAAAATGTCACTCTGGAGCTTCTCCCCACTATCTACCAACACCCACCCTACGCTCAAAAGCACACACACACACACACACACACACACACACACAAAGAATGCTTGCTGCCACCCTCAGTCACAAAGAACACAGAGGTATCGATTCTATCAATCCTCAGCAAACAGTGCCCCCACCACCTCCACCCCACTTTAGGTCCCAGGGGCTGTCTGAAGGTATCCATGAGGATAGACAAGAAGCAGGCCTATCAACCTAGCAAAGGAACCAGATCTGTCTTCCCTTCCAAAGCAGGATCAGGAGACAAAGGGGAAAAAGCAATAGAGACAAAGGAGGAAAGAAGAAGCTGGTGACTCAGACAGCTTCCTAGAAGCAGCCCTCTCTCATCCTACCACTGGGCTCTCAGTTGAATCGTCAGAGCTTTGTATCCCAGATAAGAGGGTATCATAGTATAGCATAGAGAAAGGACCCTGGAGCCGTGTTGCTGGGTTTGAATACTGCCTCTGTGTGTTCTTGGGCAAGTTAGGTGATCTCTCTGTGCCTTAATTTCTTCATCTATAAAAAGAATACCTAGGGTTATTAAATGAGTTACTATTTCTAAAGCACTTGGAACAGTAAACACCATGTCTTTGGTTAAAAAATAAAGACTCTCTTAAACTTTCCTTTGAGGGCAATAACATGTAGGCAAAACACACATGTAGGGCAAAAACACAACTGGAAGGGCTGTCTTGAGCAGGGAGACCTGGCAAAGGAAGGCCAGCAGTCCTGGTAGGCAGGCACTCCCAGCCCTCTTCTCACTCTGGCAGTGGCAAAGATTTAGGGACTCCCTAACCCAACTGTAGCGTAGGACATTTAAGCCCATGAAAGGCAAGGCCTGGTCCCACAGACTCCAAGCCCTTCCAGCAAAGCAGACCTTCTCATACTCACATGACTTTTAAGTCCCAGTCTCCACAGGTGACAAAAATTGACTTGACGTTTGGATCTAAGAGGCCTTCCTTTGCCATCCACTCATCGACCCTCTGAAAAGCACACAAAAAGAAGAAATGAGATTTTCCTTTTTTTCCCCCTTGAGTCTGTGAAGAGCCACAAGAGTGAAATGCAGATAAGCTGCTTGTAATCAGAGCAGTAGAAAATTATAATCTTATCCAGCCATGGCTCCACTCTACACTCTCAGCCTTGGCTCAGAACTGTGCAGGCACTTGGAGGACCGTCCCTGTAGGAAGATCCCACTAGCCCCAGTGAGTCAGTGGGGGGAGCCCCTTCACTCCCCTGTTGCATAGCAGCCTGCCCCAGATAGGACAGGGACAGATCCCAGCAGGTCAGTTCAAACACTTTTGGTCCTAACACAGACACGGTTGTCCTGGGCCATGATAACAGGCTGGAAAGAAGCTGCAAGCAGGAGCTCCCACCCACAGATTCATTCATGTATTTACTTCACCCTCTCCCTCCAAATGTTTATTAACCCAATGTATGAATTTGGTTATTCCCAAATGAAGGTGAAGTTGATTTCCACCATGAGTCTAGCAGAAGGAGCCCCATCTTGACACCTGGGATAGTGCTGTCTGTTCCAGTCACCAAAAATTCAAGCTGGCCCCAGACTTTGTTTCTCCTCTCCTGGTGGAAGATTCAAACTCAGCAGAATCTCTGAAGGCAGAGCTCAATTCCCAGACAGGGGAAGAAACTGCTCCCAAACATACTTTAAGTCTTTCTTTCCCTTCATCCCTTTGATAGGTTTTATTATTTGCACTCACACTGAAAGTACAAATACTAAAATAAGTAAATAACAGGAAAATTATCATAAAGAATTCATGAAGCCTCGCCTATTTGTCAGAAGATCCCAGGCATGGGGCAGGAGTACAGCAGATCACACTACTGCTCTGCTCAGGATTACTTTTTAAAGTCTGTATTGCATAGCAGTTAGAAACGCAGGATTGAAAGTCAGACACATCTGGGTTCTAACCTTAGCTCTTCCATATCCTGGCTGTGTCACTGATGGGAAGTCGTTTAAAAGTCATTTAACCCCTCTGAACTTCAGTTTCCTTCATCTATAAAACGAGGCAGGATGACTAACCTTACAGGGTTGTTTTGAGAATTAAATGTAATAATGTATTAAGTGCCTATCACAAAATAGACAGTAGGCCGAGAAGGGGAGAAAGGCAGATCATCATAATACGATATAATAGATGTAGCAGTGGAGAAGTGACCAGAACGCTAGAGGACCATGTGGAGGGAGTGGCTAGCTCTACCTTTTACAGGGAAAGGAGTCAGAAAGGCTTTACAAAGATAATTTAACTAGGAACTTGGTTGGGTTTGCTTGACCGGGTAGAAAACAAAAATAGAGAGAACACAGGAAAGGATACTACAGGCAGAGGCAAAGGCACATTTTGTACTTGAGGAGCAATTATCTGCTTAATGTCAGCCTTCTCCACCAGACTGTTAGCACCATGAAGGTAGGTACTCTTACCTGTTTTATTCACAGTCTTAACCCCTAACCCAGCAGAGTATCTTCTCAATACGTTAACTGCTGACTGAAATATGGGTAGGAAATAGTGTGACCAAAGTCCACAGTGTAGGAAGGAAGAACAGGAAATGAGGCTAGGGCACTAGGTGAGGCAGGCAAAGGAGAGCCCATAGAAATCTTGAAGTAAGGTCACTTCTACCAGGTGTCGACTGGCTCCCCGAACATCTCAGAGGCCTGGTCCATGTTCAGCAGTCCTTGAGTAGGGCTGGGGATCCTGTATAGTTCCATGTCTACGGTAGTCCTACCTCCTGGGAGGTCAGACCTGCTCCCTAGTGCCAGGATCTGTGGACCCTCTTCAGTCTGTACACCAAAGAACCCTCCTCAGCCCAAGGGTCTGCCCAGAAGCTAAATTCTGGACCTTGCATTGCTGAATGGTTTGTCTCCCCTGCCACGTTGGCCCAACCCCCATGGTCTCACACACACAC